AAAAAGACGTCGACATAGTCCTCTCGAGGTTTTACCAAAGCATTCTTAAACGCGCTCTTTAATACAGTAGTATAATCATGGTCAAATTCTTTCACCTCGACTCCACCACGCAACTGGGTTACTGGTGGGAGGTAGACGCAATACAAATAGACGAAAACCGGTATAGGTTTAGAGTTGAGTGAATAGATAACCAACAGAATAACATGAAAGGACACCAAACGCAATGAGCATTTCCTGTTGTATTCATGCATAGATTGCTTGCTTACCTTGCTTTGCCTCATTGTACTTTTGAAATAGTTCGTTAAGGTCCATTTCACGTTCAGGATGGTCTCTCCCGAATTGAAAAGTAAATAGGGCGAATTCATTCGCTTCTTGGTCCATGTTGTCAGGTTATGAGTAGAAAAAAGTGTGTTTATATCTTGTTTATGTTCTTCTACATCATGGAAAAATCACGTTCTGGCAAAAAAAAGTTCCGGGTACGTGATATTGGTCAGATCCAATCAATAAGAATGCGCAAAAATTATGCGTAACCAATAAGAATGTAGCAAATTTTTGATCAACTCGACAAAACAAATCCGATACAAAAAAAACAAATATCTAAATCTAAAAATATCAAAAAACAAATTTATATATAATCTTGATTTTAGCTTTAATCCTAATTCTAATACTTGATACCTAATATTAATCAGATATTTTAATGGTATTTCAGATCACGTGACTAATACTTTTACTAGAATGTTATCTTATTATATTCCAATATAATAAACTTAAATCTAATTGATTAATCTTTAAAATATATTATTATATACACAATTAAAAATATTTTTAAATCTGATTTATATTGTTATCATTAATAATCTTTATGGATGAAAATCTTTACTATACAGTAAATAATAACTATGTTCACATTGTTATTATTTTACTTGAATTTCAAATATAATATATTTTTTTACGTGTTTAACACGTGTTTCAAGTCAAATGGGAGAGATAAGATAAATAACCAAAGGTAATGACGTATATTCAATAAATTACTAGTCAGCTAAAAAGTAACTTAAGAAATCTTCTTATAAATTAATGTGTATTTAATAAAATAATTACGTTGATGATTTATAGACAAGTAAAATATTATAAATTTAGTTTATTAAATCATTTCAACAATATGACATTACAATATGTGAGAGATTCAAACTATAAATATGACATTACAAATATGTAAGAGATTATTAATAAAGATAACGTTGTTATGATTGAAAATTCCTATAATTTCCATAATTTCCATAATTTTCATAATTTCCATAATTACTATAATTTTCATAATTCTTATAATCTTTATAAACTC